TTTATTTTATTTTATTTTTTTACAAACACCTCCACCACTGAGCACTTAGAAATCTTATCTACAAACCCTCCAACCACAAGCCTCAACTGTTTTGCTTCCTGCTCAATAGGGGATGTCCCCACCTACCTACTTCCTAACGCTGTGATGATAGAGGTTTAGTCCCAGTTCTTCACTCTCTCTTTCTCTCTCTCTGTTTCCCCATGTGACCCCATGTGACCTTGTGTGGCATATGCTACCTCCCACACTCTGGGGAACTTCTTTCAAAGGTAGTTGTCTTTGTGTCTGTCGTCTTACTATATCAATTAAAATAAATCCCAGGTTAAAATAAATACTCTCAGCATATTCAAAATTTTTATTGGGTTGGCCAAAAAGTCCATTACCTTTTTTCCGCATAATGGTTCTAGTAGTGCTTAGTTGCCTTTAACTTCATTCTAAACAATTTTGTTAAGTAGTATTGTGACAGCTGTCATATCAGCATTTGTTTAAAAAAACTCATAAAAATTGGTGAATTTTTGTGCAGCCATTTTAATATGGAAGATGGAAGAACATACACATGTTTCAGCATATTATGCTTTATTATTTCAAGAAAGGTTAAAACCCAACTGAAGCAAAAAAAAAAAACCAAAAAGGTTTGTGCAGTGTATTGAGAAGGTGCTATAAGTAACCAAACATGTCAAAAGTGGTTTGTGGAGTTTCTTGGTACTATTGACATTTTGGCCAAATAATTCTTCGCTGTGGGACTGTTGTATGCACTGGAAGATGTACAGCAGCCCTGGCCTCTACCCACGAGAAGCCAGTAGTGGAAGATAGCTGACACACTCAAAATATCCAAATTAATAAAGTCATTGGTGAAAATGAAAAATGGTGTCTTTTATCTTATGGGAAAAAACTAAACAGACTTTTTGTCCAACCCAGTATTTTATACAGTACTCCACTTCTTTGAATCCTTCAAATACTTAAAATCACAAGTTTTAGCACGGCTAAAAGATATGCTGAGGTACGTGAAAATTTTTAGTGTTTATTTGAGCAAACGTCTATGGGAATCAGGCAGCACCAAACTGAAAATGGCTACAGGCACTCCGCCAGCAGGAGCTAAGGGCATGAACGGCTTTATAGGGCAGAGCGAGGGAAATCTTGCTCAGCTATAGCTTAGGTGGTTGCTGTATTTGAGATACCCTAGTTAGCAATTGTGATCAGTTGTTCCTAAGTGTCGATGTCTTGACCTGAGGCATTTGCTGGTATCATCTCTGGCTTAGGTTTGGTTTGCTTGTGCAGGTGGCAAGGCATCCAAGCCACCTTTTTAAATTACTCTAACAGCACCAGAGCTCTCGTATGCATATGCACGCTAGGCCACACTGGAGAGAGAACACTGGGAAAGCAAAACCCCTGCCCTTGTAGAATTTATACTCCACTTGTAAATGGTAAGTAAAGTGAGGAAGCTTATCTTTTATTCCATTTGAATCCCTCATTTTTCATACCAGTGTTTCATATATAATCTGTTCAATACTATTTGCTGAATGAGGGAATGACCCATTTCCCTTAAGTATCAGACGCCATTTTCTCTATCTTTTGTTATTGAATAGTGGCTTACAGTTAAGAGACTGTCAATAATCTTATCTCACTTGATGAAGACCGTGAAGCAGAGCACCACTGAATGATACAGTAATTCAAGCAGTTGAACTTTACTGAATGAATAGCTGTACTCACCAATCACCAGTTTATGAACCAGAAAGTGGGCCCTCACCAGACTGAATCTGCTGGTGTCTTCATCATGGACCTCCCAGACTCCAGAACTGCAAGAAATAAGTTTTGATTGTTTATAAGCCACTGAGTCTATAGTATTTTTGTTTTAGCAGCATAAAAGGACTAAAAAACCATGTAAGTAGAAATTGTTGGTCCAGGCTTTTAAAAGATAATCAGTTGCTATCCTACTGGAAATTTAAGCCAAGTCCTAGGAATTAGCTCTAAATCTTTAGTCTCTTTCAACTAAGTAATTGATTTATATTTTAAATATAGTATGTACCATCTTATGAGGAAGGATAGGAATTTGAACTTCTAGTGTGTCACTTGCTTACCTATGTAAGTAAGAAATGAGATTATCTATTGAGGTAAATGCTACTACTACACAATCAACATTCATCCATCTATCCCCTTTTTCTGTCCTTAACATTTCTTCCTTTTTAACATGACCCTATGCTGGGAAAATTTCCTAAGTGTACTAAAACTAACCTCTATAGGACCAACAGACTGAAGAAAGAAGCTGATAACTCTATAATTAAAGTTCACTAGGAAAACTTACAGGCAGAAGCAGACATCTGTGCAGCAACAAGATAGCAACTTTTCACATCCAAGAAAGGATGCAGCTTTCTAGCGCCCCCAAGAACACTGGTGACTTACAGCCAAGTGTCACGTGCTCATTAAGTAGGCGGTTTGAGGCCAAGTAACATGTGCTTGTTAAGCAGGTGGCAGTGTAGCCAAATGGCACGTGCTTGTTAAGCACTGTGTAATCAAAGCAGTAAACAACATTAATTGGCCTACTGTTCTATGTGAGAACATTCTTTTCAGGTGATATGAGCCTACTCCTCCCAGGGTGAACTGGCAATCACTGAAAGGAACTTGCTTCCTAAGATGGCATCAGTCAGGCCAAGAACTAGAAACCAATTTTCCTAACGCGCTGCTTTGGTTCACCTTCCCCAGATTGTCAGCGTCCCTCAGGAGAGGCTGGCCTCGCCTCCGCTCTGGGATATGATTCTCAACTGGCATCCGTCCATTATGGAGGCCTCATTCCCCACCACCTCCCCACACGCCCTGTTGGCGACAGGCATAGAGAGTTGAAGCAGTTTAACCTACTAAGATATGAGGGAAAACCTGCTGGGCTACAAAGTTTTCCTTAGTCTTAAAAAGGGGCAGAAGATAAGGGTGCTCCATTTTTTTGCTGCTGGATAGCACCTGAAATCTGAACTGGGACAGCTGTTTGAGGACCATAATGGAAGCAAAAATAGGGAAGGATCTGATTTCTGGACAATATCATCAATCCATGGTAATTAACCAACCCTGGGAGTGTCCCTACCTTCATACATCTAGCTATGTGGAATAATAAAAAAGCTTAAAACAGTAAGGACTTCTGGTAAGGTTTTCTACTGCCACAGTTGAAAGTATCCCTTCTGTCTTTCAAAAATTCCACTCTAAGTAGTAGACGGCTCAATATAACAAAAGCTATGGTAGATTGGAGGCAAAGATAGCTGCTAAATTTTTTTCCTATGTTCAATTTGCTCCTCCCATTAAAAAGTGGAGTCTATTTTCCTTTCCTATGAATCTACTCCTGCCAGTAGAATTCGGAAAGGTAACCCAAGGCCAGTTCCAGACGGAGGCCTTAAGAACTGGTATCCTCCCCTCCTCCTTCACTCTCTTGGGAGCCAGCCACCATGTAAGAAAGCTTAGGCTAAATTCCTGAACGGTGAGAGGTCTTAGGGAGAAGAATCAGGTAACTCGGCATGAAAGGCAGCACCAAGAGCACAGCGGTGGGAGTGAAGCCACACTAGCTGACCCCTGATTAAGCGGGCACTAGCCAGCTCCACCAAGCCCTGCCTGCATGCCTGGCCATAGAAGCAGGCATAACAGAACACCTGCTATTGTTAGTGTCTAAATCCAGGTTGGTCACAGTGCAGCAACAGATAACCGAAACACAAAGTAATACCGTTTCTTCCCTTGTTTTGTAAAATTGCTGTAGTCATTTTCACAATGATCAAGAATGATTTAGTAAGTCACTAATAGCTCTGCATGCTAAAAATTTTTTCCCAAATAATGTGTTTTCATTGTCTTCACAAAGGAGAAATTTGTTATTTATGTCACCTTATACTAACATTTTTAAAAAATAATTAAATAGAAATAAAAGGGGAAATGTTTGCAACAAATGAATCGATATCCTTAGCAAGTAAAAAGAACTGTGGCAAACATAAAAGAAAAATAGTGACAACTCAGTTTTCAAATTGGAAGAGCCGTTTCTTTGAAGAACCATAAACGGTCAATAAACATGAGAGGGAAATAGGCTATCCTCAAGCTAACTAATTTAAAACAATATGACATCATTTTCACCTAACGAATGGCCAAAGGAAAATGTAAATACTAAGACTTCATGCCGGCTAGGATCCATTGAGAAATGGGAAAATCCCATGTTAAAGGTGCAGAGCACGGGAAACCGCGGTGTCCTTGAACTCCGGGGACTTCAGTGTCTCTGGTCACGTGCTGCTTGACTTCGAACAGTGCCTACGGCTGTGACTTGAGGATAATACAACTACTGCACAAAGCTGTTGAACAGAAGAGCAGTATACATGGTTGTTACTTCTTGTTCGGCCTGTTTACCCACGTGTTTACTTTTGTCAGAGATACTGGAAAAGCATTAGAAATCCAGGAAAATATGAATACTTTTCTAAAACACGGGCGGTAGAATGAATTGGGAGTGACGGGACACCGTGCAAGGTGAGTCGTCGCGGGAGGAGGAGAGATGGGGAGGAGGCATGGGGAGGAGGCGGCCAGGGAGTGGAGGAGCTGCGTCTCTCAAGGACCCCCGCCTCTCCGCGCACCCGCGCCGCGGCTTCCACGCTCCGCGGGGCCAGCGGCCACAGAGGGAAGGCGGTGGGAAAACTAGGATCCACGGCGCTGATTGGCTGCCTGTGAGCACGGGGTGGGAAAAACGGAGGTTGCGGGAATCCCTAACGGAACGCCGCGGGGGAGCACTTCCGGTCTTTGTGGCTGTCCGTTCTGGGTCGGCGGCTTGCTCCCTAGCCGCTCCTGGGCTTTGCGGTGAGGGATGCGGGCCCCGAAGCGAAGGGAGGGCTGGGAGGGCGTGCGACCCGAACGGCAGGCTCGGAGTGGAAGAGCCCCGCTCCTCGTCCTGCCCATCCCCGGGTCGCGGCGCCTTGTCCGGGTGGCGTCTGCTCGGGGCTTGGGGACGCAGATGAGGCCAACGCTCAAGCCCCTGCTTTCCAAGAGAAGGGGCACGTACTCCCCCGCCACCCAGATTTTGCAAATGCTGTGATTTAACTTGGATATGAAAATAGGCTAGTGCGGCCGAGCTGGTTAGTAAACCGCAGTTTTGTAGCGTCGATATTATAATCTCTAAAGTTAATGGTAGTTCTAGGGTTAAATTTTACTGTCCTAATTAAAGGGCAGATGCTCCTATGAATATTCCAGCATCCTAAAATAAGATCGTGTTTATTTGCATCAGAAAATGTAATACATACTTATTGCCCTATTTCAGTTTTTTTTAATGTTTACTCCAGTAGTATATTCTAAGCTTTTTGAGAGCTGAGATTGACCTTTTCACTTCTGTGTCTTTATATGACATGGTTTTGAGTACATGGTAAACGTTTAACAAATCCTTTGTGGTTGTTTTTCTGTAGCCTCATTTATTCCGGAGCAAAAACCTTTGTATCCTAATACTGGCTCATGACAGAGCCCATAAGAAGTTCCTCAGTGTTCACTGAAGAAATTCAGTGAATACCATAATTGAGAAAATGGAAACTATCCAACAATATTTTCATTTAAATCAACTGTTTCATATGCGTTTTAAAAAATGTTTTGTTACTACCTTACATGGCTTGACCTTATTTGCCATAGATGTCACTAAAAATAAATTTTTAAAAATCAGCATTATTAAGTCCTAGCTAGATACTGTTACCCTTGGAAGGCTGAGACTTTATTAAAGAGGGAGTTCTGCAAGCCTTACATCATGTTAAAAACGGATTTTCCTTCTCAGTGAGAATTGAAAGAGAAAAAGGAAATTTCTCAGTATGCAATTCATGTTAATATTGTATTCTTTTGCTTCTAAAATAATTTCTTATAGAATTAGTGGTAGAAATTCTACAAAATAGGAAACTGAATGACATGATGTTTTGTTTGCCACTTGATTATTATTTATTTACAATCTCAAACCTGCTTCCTTTTGATATGCTACTGGGATGGCTGATGTTTATTATCATAAGGTCTTAGAAATTTTGTTCACTGCTATAAGTTAACAGTGCTTTTATATCCTTCAGGAAAGAAGAGATTACTCAAAGAATTTCTGAAGTAGCGTACCCAGTTGTAGTGAGCTTTTTTGAACAGCTGTTTCAGGCCAGAATGGCTGTGGAATCCAGAGCAGTTTCAACCCTGGTACCTCAGAATCCTCAGGAACAAGAACTGATACTAGTGAAAGTAGAAGAAAGCCTTTCCTGGGGTCAGAAATTAAAGCAGAATGGGAGTACCCGATCCTGCCAAGAATTGTTTCGCCAGCAATTCAGAAAGTTTTGCTACCAGGAGACACCTGGGCCCCGGGAGGCTCTGGGCCGACTCCAGGAGCTTTGCTATCAGTGGCTCATGCCAGAGTTGCACACGAAGGAGCAGATCCTAGAGCTGCTGGTGCTGGAGCAGTTCCTGAGCATCCTGCCTGAGGAGCTGCAGGTCTGGGTTCAGCAACATAGTCCAAAAAGCGGCGAGGAAGCTGTGACTCTGTTGGAGGATTTGGAGAGGGAATTTGATGATCCAGGGCAGCAGGTGGGAACAGGGAGATGCAGTGTTGTGGGAAGAGGAATTTACAAACTGGAGCATGTGGCATCATTGTAACAGGATGAAAATTTGTCTACTGAACCATACCCTGATGTGACTACTAGGGCCATGCCCATCCCTACCCTTAAATTGTTCTTTTTTCCCTATCCCTCATCTCAAGAGATGTCTATCTTGACCTCTGAGATTTTTTACTAAGCATCTCCCTAGGGATTTTCTCACAGTGCTAACCATATTTTACTTATTTCAGGTCCCAGCTAGTCCACAAGCATCAGCAGTACCATGGAAGGATTTGACAAGTCTTGGAGCATCCCAAGAGTTAAACATCCAACTCCAGCCTTTAAAGACACAGCTGAAACCTTGGGAACCTTGCATTTCCCCCCAAAGTGGTAAGAAATAGAAAATCACTTGGGAACTGTTATCAGTTAGGCCTCTGGCTTTGATGATGCAGAATTAATTACATTTTACAAGCATGCCACATGTAAGCCTCACTTTTATTATACTGAGCCAGAGGTGCTCATTTTAGCAGCTCTGTATTTGGCAACCCTCACAAATTGCAGTCAGGCCTCCTTGTGGCAGTTCCCCTGTCATTTATTATTCCTTCATTATGTATCTTAATTGGGTACTAATACATGTCTGGTACAATGGCAGGCACTGGGTCTCTATCTTCAAGAACTTTCAAGTCTAGGTGGATTGGTGGACAAAAAAAAAGGCAATGGCAGTATAGTGTAGTTAATTATAGACTAAAGGTAGGCACTGGGTACTGTGGGGGCACATGTAAAGGCACCTAACCCAACCTCAGAGGTTCAAGGTATAACTTCTTGAAGGAAAAGACATCCAAGCTAAGACTTGAACTATAAAGAGGAAAAAGCCAGGTAAATAGGTGGGAAGAGAAGTACCCCAAGCTAAAGGGAAAATCTACTTATCAATACTTCTGACACCAGATGTGTGGGGTTTTCCCTCACATTAAGCAGTTCTGACACTAACTCTCCAGAATCATTGCAGACCCTCAGGTTAAGGTTTTAGTCCCACAAGACTGGCCCCTACTTCATATGTCAACTGCATGTAGCAAGTCCCAGGCTACCCAGAGTTCTGATTTCCTGTAAACTGGCAGTTCCACGAACCCCTCTTCATGTTTCATAATTTGCTGTAATGGCTCCCAGAACTCAGGGAAACACCTTATTTACTATTACTGGTTTATTATAAAGGATACAAATGAATTATTGGTCCATAGGGTGAAGTCCTGAAGGGTCCTGAGTGCAGGAGCTTCTGTAGCTGGACTTTTGGGGTGCCATTCTCCTGGCACTTGGATCTCAGATCCATTCACCATCCTGGAAGCTCTCTGAACCCCTTTAAAGGTTTTTGGAGGTTTTGTTACATGGGCACAGTTGATTAAATCACTGGCCATTGGTGATTAGCTAACTCAGCCTGCAGCCCTTCTCCCAGAAGGTCAGAAGATGGGCTGAAAGTTCCAACTCTAATCACTTGGTTGGTTCCTAGAGCACACACCCAGGTATCATTGGTAGGGGCTTATTATAAATGATAGAAGATACTCCTCTCACCTCTACCACTTAGGAAATTTCAAAGGTTTTAAAAACTGTGCCAGGAATTGGGGAAGAAGACCAAATATATATTTCCTATACTACAATATCATATAAACAAAAGCCACAAATTCCTGAAGGTGAGAGAATATAGCCCATTCTGGGAATTGAAGATAATTTAACTTAACTTGAATAAAGAATTCTTAGAGGAGGGGTGGTAGGAGGAACTAGCAGAGAAAAATGGGACCCAGATTGTGAAAACTTGTGTGTCATTCTAATTAGTTTGTGCAGTGCAGTTGGGTACAGTTGAAGAGCTTTGTACATGATTGGATATGTATTTAAAAATTTAGTTGCAGGGTGGAGAACACATTTGAAAGCAAGAGTAGAGCTCTGTTAGAGACTGTTGTAATCCAAGCGGCCACAGTGAGTTAAGTCAAGACGTATTATAGTGAGAGGTGGGGAAGATCAAAGCCGACTCCTGCTTATCGGTATTTAAACTGCATTGCAGTAGCTTATCCTTATTAAAAGTGCAGCATGTGGAGAGGAGATGAGGATGATACTCAGCTTTCAGCCTTAAACAGCTTGGCTAATAGTGGTGCTATTCATATAAATGGAAAACATCAGAGAGAAAAACACATTGATGATATGTTTAGTTTGGGACATTTCGGTGTTTGTGAAATAGTCACAAGTAATATACTCAAGTAGCATTGGATGTGAGCATCTAGAGCTTAACAGAGAAAACTGGGATAAAATTGGGGATCTGATCAGCTTATACCATGAGTACATTAGTAATTGAAGTCTATGAGGTAGACAGTTTATAGAGGATACATGAGAGCCCAGAACAAAATTTGAAAGAACTCATGTTTGAATGATTGGCCTTGAATCTTAAGAAGGAACAGCCATAGAAATTAGGCTAGCATAGCTGCTTCTAGAAGGAAAGTGTTGTCCACAGGGTCAGTGTTAAAAGAGAGGCCAACTAAGTAAGACCCATAAAGTATCCATTAGGTTAAGCAGCCATGAAATTGGAGACCTCGATGAAAGAGTGTATAGGGATGGGAGTGAGGGAGGCGGGGCATGGGTAAAGCAGAAACCAGATTACAGAATGGAAGTGAATACGGACAACCCTTTTAAGAAGCTTTACTCTGAATGAGAACGAGGTTTCATGAGGGAGATGTATAGGCGAGGACCTTGGTTTTAAAAGATGAGTGAGACTTGAGCTCACTTAAATACCAGTAACTGGAAGGAGACAGTGGAGAAAGAGATTGAAAATATTGGGAAAGGAATAGGAGGTAAGTGATCCTTTGAAGTCTCAAGCATGAAAGAATAAACTGCAAAGTGTAGATGTAGGCCCTACTATTAGAGAGGAGGAAGGACCCTAGTATGACCAGTTAAAGAAAAGATATATGTGGACAGTGACATTTTTTATGGGTAGAAGAATCTGTTTTCTCTCACAGAAATTGAGTATTGAGAGTGACTGGAGAAATTAAAAATTTGTTTTTTGCTATTATCATTTCAGATTGTGAAAACAATGAATCGACTAGAAAGAAGGACATTTCGAGCAAAAAAGCAGGACTTACCCAGGACCTTTCATTCGGAGGATTTAGTGAACGTGAAAGCAGTTTAGAGTGGCAGCAAGGAAGTGCTTCAGGGGAGAAATTAGGAAGATCCCCTATCCAAGGAGGCAGTTTTAGTCAAGTAATCTTCACACACAAATCTCTAGGAAAGATAGACCATCATGAGCCTCAAAGAAGCTTGATTCTAAGTACAAACTCTGTAACGTATCAGAAAGTTCCTACAGAAGAGAGACCTTATAGATGTGATGTATGTGGGCACAGTTTTAAACAGCATTCCTCTCTCTCACAACACCAGAGAATCCACACTGGAGAAAAGCCCTATAAATGTAACCAGTGTGGGAAGGCCTTTAGTTTGAGGTCGTATCTTATTATTCATCAGAGAATACATAGTGGTGAGAAAGCATATGAATGTAGTGAATGTGGGAAAGCCTTCAATCAGAGCTCGGCCCTCATTAGACATCGGAAAATTCACACTGGTGAGAAAGCCTGTAAGTGTAACGAGTGTGGCAAAGCATTCAGTCAAAGTTCGTATCTCATCATCCATCAAAGAATTCATACTGGTGAGAAACCCTATGAGTGTAATGAGTGTGGGAAAACCTTTAGCCAAAGCTCAAAGCTTATTAGACACCAGCGAATTCATACAGGAGAGAGACCTTATGAATGTAACGAATGTGGAAAAGCTTTCAGGCAGAGCTCAGAGCTGATAACCCATCAGAGAATACATAGTGGGGAGAAACCCTATGAATGTAATGAATGTGGAAAAGCATTCAGTTTGAGCTCAAACCTCATCAGACATCAGAGAATTCATAGTGGAGAGGAACCTTATCAGTGTAGTGAATGTGGCAAAACATTCAAAAGGAGTTCAGCCCTTGTTCAGCATCAGAGAATCCACTCTGGGGATGAAGCTTATATATGTAATGAATGTGGGAAGGCGTTCAGGCACAGATCAGTCCTTATGCGCCATCAGAGAGTTCACACTACAAAGTAACTTGTGAATACAATGATTATTGTAAATACTTCAATCAGATTTATATCTTTGTTAGTCAAAAGGGTTCACTTTGAGCAAGACTATGATGGTTGTAAACTACTAGGTCTTAAGTCAGTCTAACTTTATGCGGCACTTCAGTGCGCATGCATACTGTCCCTTGAAAGCTTTTCCTGTGACTAGTCAGAACAGTAGGTGGAAGGATCATTGCTTCCAGCTTGTCTTTTACCATTAGGAATACTCAGGAAATAGGAAAAATGGGACTATTAACATTGAAACCTCATTTTCCATGAGGCTGTTACAGGGAGGTGGAGCACCCAGGCTCTGCCATCGCACCTCATCGCTGGTGTGCCAGGTTTGGGAGATGGTGTGGACAGTGTGAGACGTTCTGTCTTGGGAATACAAAAGTTAACTGATCAGTTAAAAACAATGACAGGACAGCAAGACAGCTGGGGAAGCAGTTTGATCAATGACTTGAGGAGCCCTGGGCAGGCTGGACATGAGATAGAAGAATACAAATTAATTGATCCAGCTGTTATTTTTGAGTACCTGTTTTGTGCCAGGAACTAGGTATAATGGAAAGTAAAGACAATAAAGTTGAGTGGACAGGGCAAACAGGCAGTGACCGTGGTTTGGTCAGTGGTACGTGACTGAGGAGTACTTGACCCAACCGCGGGTCAAGAAAGGCTTCTGGGAGAAAAAAGTGATCTGAAAGATGAGTGGGAGGTAGGCAAGCCAGGGAGCAATAGGCAAAGGTCAGGAAGAAAATTTGACACATCCGAGAAGTTAGAAGGCCACTTTGTGTGGAGCTTTCCTGTGGAGTTCCTTTTGAAGTGGGGTCAGGTCTGTAGGAGAAGTATGGATGTAGCCAGAAACTCTTAAGCAGTGCCTGTGAAGTCTCCTAATAGACAAAATCTGGAGTCCTTTGATCACAGGGTGGTGAAGTTTTTTCTTCATCTGGGGTGACCCAGAGAAAGGGTTACTGTGGTTTCCCTGCCTACCTGGAGGCTAGGCTAGAACTTTCATGCAGGTGGGGGGCAGGTCAGAAAGAGCCCAGCCTAGAGGTTAAGAGTCCGTTGGAGTTCTCAATGCCCCTCTCCCAGGCATAAGGACATCTTTGGTTCTTAGGACTGTAACAGAGCTACTATCAGCTTCCCCCCAATTTTCAAGGCTAGTCAGAAGCTGCTATGAGCATGGGTACCATTGCGTTTGTTTCTGGGGCTGTACCCCTACAGTTCCTAGTGCACTCCCTTGGGCTCAGGTGCTAAAAAAAATATTCTGTCAATTGCTGGATCTGTGACTTACTCTCCAAGCACCTCACACATGTTCAGTTTTGTCTTATATTAGCAGTGTTCACAGTCTTTCATGATTTTTGTTAATGCTACAGGCAGGTGACAACAGAAAGTAACAGTCATGGTCCATCCAGAAACTGCCCTCTTCTGAGGGACCCAGCAGGAAAAGTATCCCTAGACTGGTACTTCTCAGTACAATGTGAAAAGGTATATAAGCTAGTCAGCAACAGAAAAACATGTTATTCAAAATACCTAATGGGTTGGAGTTATAACACAGCTTACCAAAAATAGAGATCTATGGGAATCTAGAATCTTGTGCATAGGAAGAGTTACCATGAGGCTAGAGAAGCAGTGCTCCAGTTGGGGTGCACACAGATGAACGCGCACTGACTAGCACGAGCGGCAGGAGGGCTACGTGCCCATGCTTAGAATGTGAAAAAAGGGGGATAGCATCATTTGGAAAAGATGGTAAAATGTAACAAAATAGAGCTATTCAACTCTTGTTTTCCTCCACAGAGAAAGATGCAAATGAAAAAGGGAGGACAAACTTGGAATGATGCAGCATACCGTATAAAAGGAAGATAGTGTTTATATAAGTAGTTCTTACACATATCAATAGGAAACATGATGGATACTTAGCGGAGCTCTGTTTATATGTACTAGTTATTTCTCAGCCCGTATTTCACAGAGGAGGAAATGGAGGCTTAGGATTATGGCTTGCTCAATGTACAGGCAAAAAGTGGTGAGGTTAGACTTTGAACCCAGACACTAGGAATCCAGGGCTCTTCCGTGGAGCCATTTCCCTATACTGTCTCCCATGAAAAAGTTACAGTAGGAAAAAATGTTTCTTAAATAGGCAAATCACAAAAGAATAAATGCCAATGGACACTAAGTGTTCAGCCTTGCTAGAATTTAAAATGTACTATATTAAAGCAAGAGTTGAGATGGCATTTTTTTTTACCCTAATAAAACTAACAAAAATTCAGGGAAATTGGGATTCGAAGGGTGAGATACAAGTAGATGCTATCTTAGGCGATCAATACCAGAAGCCTTAAGCATTGCGTTTTGACTTTAAAATTCTACCTGTAAATTTATGCCTCAGAAACCATCATGAATGTATACAAAGTCTTAAAAGCTGTTAAAAGTGATGTTGATTAATGTTAAATGACAAAGCATTCATGTCTTAAGTAAAAATAAAAGACAATTATGTACATTATGATTCCATGTAAAAAATATATTTATTCATTAAAAATACTGGAAGTATTATACACTTAAAGTGCTGTACTGGTGATCTTTGGGTAATAAGATTATAGGTGATTTAATTTTTCTGCTTTTCTGTGTCTTTCAAATTTTTTCAATAAATATCTAAAACTTCTAAAATTAGGAAAAAAAGGTATAAAAGGGAGTGGAAGCCCAGGATAGTTGAGAAATGTTGAGAAAAGCACATGCTTTCCATAGCATCTCTGTCCCTTCCAAGTCGTACCAGATTAGCTTACTTGCTAACTCTGATGTGTGACTTCCTCATTTGTAAATGGCAATGGCAGACATACCCATGTCACATGAATGTATAATAAATGTCTTTGGCAAATTAAAACCTCTGCAAATGGGAGCTACTTGAATGAGGGAGATTTATAGTTGAGAAAGTTAATAGCCTTGAAGTGAAGACCTTTGTTCTTCCTAGTATTTTTCCATTAATTCTGCAGCGATAAGCAAATCACTTCACAATTCTGAACGCTCAGTTTAAAGGAGCTGAAGTAAGTGACTTCTTAGAGTTAAAGCATCAACATTCTATGTATGGAACAGAAGGGACATCAATGTAAGGTAGATGTCAAAGGTAATTGTTTTGTCCTTCACCAGCTTTGCTGGGGGAAAGGTATCAATAAGTCATGCTTTTCCCTTCTGCTCAGGGCCTTATTTCTCCTGGTATACACACAGTCCAGGAAGGGGGTCAGGGGAACAAGGTTTATCTTAAATGGATCTTGCACAACAGTCACAGGTTTTTTTTTTTTAATATATATTTTACAATTAATGCTATTACGGTTGTCCCATTTTTTCCTCCCCTTTATTCCCCTCCACTGCCCCACCCCCCAGCATTCCCCCCCACACACACCTGCTTAGTTCATGTCCATGGGTTAAACATGTAAGTTCTTCGGCTTCTCCATTTCCTGTACTGTTGTTAACCACCCCCTGCCTATTTTGTACCAACTATGCTGCTTATTCCCTGTACCTTTTCCCCCATACCCCCTTCCCCCTCTCCTGTTTTACTGTTACAGTTTTTGATCTTAGATAAGTCCCTTTAACATTTCATATAATAAGAACTTGGTGGTGATAAATTCCTTTAACTTGATCTTACCTGGGAAGCACTTTATCTGCCCTTCCTTTCTAAATGATAACTTTGCTGGATAGAGTAGTCTTGAATGTAGGTCCTTGGTTTTGAAGACTTTGAAAACTTCTTGCCAGCCCCTTCTTGCCTGTAAGGTTTCTTTTGAGAAATCAGCTGATAGTCTTATGGGAACTCCTTTCAAGGTAACTGTCTCCTTTTCTCTTGCTGCTTTTAAGATTCTCTCCTTATCTTTAATCTTGGGTAACTTAATTATGATGTGCCATGGTGTGTGCTTCCTTGGGTCCAACTTCTTTGGGACTCTGAGCTTCCTGGACTTCCTGGGAGTCTATTTCCTTTGCCAGGTTGAGGAAGTTCTCCATTATTTTTTCAAATAAGTTTTCAATCTCTTGCTCTTTTTCTTCTCCTTCTGGCACCCCTATGATTTGGATGTTTGAACATTTAAAGTTGTCACAAAGGTTCCTAAGTCTCAATATTTTTTTTAATTCTTTTTTCTTCATTCTGTTCTGGTTGAATGTTTCTCTCTTCCTTCTGCTCCCAATCATTGATTTGAGTCCTGGTTTCCTTCCCTTCATTGGTTCCCTGTATATTTTTCTTTATTGCACTTTGCATAGCCTTCACTTTCTCCTCCATTTTATGACCACACTCAACCAATTCAGTGAGCATCCAGACTACCAGTGTTTTGAACTGTGCATCTGATAGGTTGGGTATCTGTTCATTGCTTAGTTCTATTTTTGGAGCTTTGATCTGTTCTTTCATTTGGGCCATATTCTTTGTCTCACACACCTTGGAAATTGTTGGAAGGGGCGAAGCCTTAGGTATTTGCCAGGGCAGGGCAACCCAGGTCACCGAGCTGTGATGCTGTGTGTGGGAGAAGGGTCCAAGAGGAAACAATGCCACTTGCTCAGCTCTAGGCTGGCTTTCAGTCACTTCCTCTGCTACCCACAAGCAAATCAGACCCTTCTAGTGCTGATTCTTAGGAGGGTGGGTTTCTCTACTGTTCTAGGACCCCAGGGGTATCTCCAACAGATTCTCCTGTGAGGCTGGGGGTTTCTCCTGCTGTCTCAACCCCCACAGGTTTTTACCTTCAGAGGTTTTGAGGCTTTCTTTTCCTGCATTAGAACCTTGGATTGTGTGGTCTGTCTCACTCCCCAGCTGTTCCTTAGGTTTATCCATACATAGATGTGGATAAATCTATGTATGGATACATCATACATACATACCGCCCGGTATCCAGCCTCCACCACGCCTGCCTGGTCCTCCAGCTGCTGCCTTGTCGCACATCCTCTGCACCCTGGCTGCCCATCTCCACCCCTCCTACCGGTCTGGATGAATGTTTCTTCTTTTACTCCTTGGTTGTTGAACTTCCATACAGTCCAATTTTCTGGCAGTTCTGGTTATTTTTTGTTTTTAAATTTGTTGTTATCCTTCTGGTTGTGCAAGGAGGCAAAGTATACCTACCCACGCCTCCATCTTGGCCAGAAGTCCATATACAGAGGTTTAAAAAGACAGTGTGCAGTTTAGACAAGGTGATTAATGTCAGTTTCCTATCTCTCCCTTTCTCCCCCTTCCACTGAGTCCAGTGGCTTTCATTAACACTGTCCAGCTGAGAGGCCTGGAAATTTAAGCAAATCTGACCTTGGTCTCTCCAAGATCCCATGTGAATATCTTTGCTTTCCTTGCACCATAAAGTGAATCCTCAGACAAAGGGGAATTGCCAGGTAGAATAATTTCCCCATGCAGGAGGACTGACCTGGAGAGCATTTCTGCAAAGTCAAGAGGAAAGGTGAGTCCCTTAGGCAGACTCCTCTTATATCCCCCCAACCCCCGCTTTTGATGGGCCCGAACCAGATGTTGCTACTCAAACTCTGTCACTGGCAGCTGTCTCATTGGCTTACACAATGATCACGCATCTAAAGGGTCTCAGGTCTTTTTTGCTGCACAAGCAATTCCACTAAGGACCTGCTGAGAGAGGAGGGGGAGGCCATGGCAGTCACCCAGGCTCTTGCTCTCAAAGGTGGAGAAGGGTCCTGATTCTTGTGGGCACAGGGGTGTGTGTGTGTGTTTCAAGAGGCGACTTGTGACTTCCCCTGGTGAACTGCTGCCCCAGGGACTGTCAGTTTGCAGACACTTTTTGGCCCAGGGAATAAAAGCTAAGAACACCGATTCCCTGACTTCCTCCCACAACTGCTTCCCCGATTCTCCCAGCACGTCTCCACTCATGTTACTGCGCTCCCTACTCCTGAATGAGTAATTTCAAAGCAAAACTTAAATTCAAACTTTATTACAAAATGCCTTACATTACATTCTAATACTAAACAGTTGAAATATAAATGTTAAAATCAGATACTAAGATTGATTTCCCAAACAAGATTTTACCAAAAAATTTTAGGGTTGGAATAAAAAAAAACGAATAGAATTCCAAATTATAACAATGTTCCTATGGGTAGTGAGATTGTGGGTGATTTATACTTTCTCATTTTCTGTATTATCAGCATTTACAATTAATTGACAATAAAAAACTATTAAGTGATATTAAAACCATGAAATCATATAATTGTCATTTATAAGAAAAGGCAACCCTCTATCCATTTGAAGCCTTCAGACTTCTGACTGACCTCACTCAATAATAATCCCACAACCTCTGGACACAAGACTCTCCCTGTAAGTTCACCACTCCTCTTACCCACAGAAGTTCGATCACCAAGTCTTCAGAGATGACGGTGTCCGGAAGGGAAATCAGGACATCTCAGAAGAGGAATCAAACGTTCTCTTAGGTATTAATTGTACCCTCTTGCAGATTTGTTCTCTCCTTGGTGCTCTGCCTCAGCCCTTGAAACCCCCTATATGTGCTACTCCTGTATTCTCTAGAGTTTTTTTTTATCCCTTAGTAATTAATCCCTTGCAATAGTTAATAATTCTTAATAGCACACTTTGCCTCTTCAAGTTGTGGTTTCTGTTACTGACACATTATTCATCCCCATGCCAGTGGGGCCATAATAGTAAAATAATAGAATATTGGTCTTTAAATATTATGGGTATTATTAGAGAATTTTATTAGAGACCTTAATTCTTAACCCAAAGTTAGAAATTATATTGGAATTTCGGATTCTAGGCAGAGCCAATGGAAGAATATTTTTAGTCAGGAGGGCCTTTCCACAATACTTAAAGATCACGGCAAGTGACTGTCATTAAGAAAATGAACCATGTCACAGAGGAGAGCGCTCATCTCCATCCTCATCTCCACATGGACAGCCTGGGGCTCCTGAGGCTCACCCTTGCACTGACACTGATTCTCCAAGGGCTAGAGCTGGACACTCAGAGACTTCAGTGTTCCCGTGGATGTCATTTCCTTTTAGGTCATTCCTTGGCTATGAGCTGTGTCCTAGGAATAATCAAGTACTAGCACTATGATTCAAAGGATATACAAGAGGGAAACCCCTAGAATAACAGGGCAGGGCAGCTGGAGTCAGAAACTCATTCAGATGATTAGACAGAAAACAAGAGGACTAAGAGCCCTAGAGATTTGATCCCAGGGGACAAATAATAATCCAAAAGACAAAAATTGTATAATTCTCTAATAACCAAGTCAAGGCCATTCACAGTGGCTTCCCCATTAACTTGCAACAGGTAAAACAAGCAAACAGAAACATTTTTTTACTTGTTGCCTGGGCAGCAAGTAAAATTCAGAAAGAATCTCTCAGAGGATGGATGTGGTTTCTTTAATTCTGTAGTTGTCAGGCTTCTATTCAACTCTGTTTCTGTTGGTTCTGAGCGATGGTTGTTCTATATTTTAGTTGTAATTTTGTTGCGGTTGTGCAATGAGACAAGCCATG